AGAGGAGAGGAAAGGGGGAGCCTCAGAGGGGTCCCCGCGGAGGGCAGCCGGCCCGACACCACACTAGGCCCCCACCCCCGCAGCCGCCACCCCCTATCGTAGAGCGGCAACACGCAGGGTCGCCCGACAGCCCTCACGACGGGTCAAAGGGACCGAGCGGGGCCGCCGCCGAGCGATACCTCGTCCGGATGCCCAGCGCCAACCTCCACCAGCGCCTCAGCGAGCCCGGCGCCGCCATATTGCCCCTCGCGACCGCCTCAGCCCCGCCCCCGCCCGCCCGCCCATTGGCTGCCCCAACGCCACCGCTTCCGGCGAAGGGCCGCCATGGCGGAAGTGCTGAGGCGGCGGGGGTTGCTAGGCAACGAGCCGCCCTCCCCACCCGGCGACCAGGCCCACCCGACCCGGTGTGTCCCCGGGGGCGGCAGCGCTCGGTCAGGCCAGCAGACCCGCCAGAGCTTTGCACAAGGTCACGAAGCTGCCGCTCGTCCTTGGGGAGGTTTTACTGTCATGAGTGGTGACACTCAAGGAGGGACATAAACAGCGATAAAAGAGTAATAAAATAACGCCCTGGTCACCAGCGGGGTGTGTTTGCCCTGGAATTAGGAAACAAGGAATTACGAATTAGTTGTTCATTTCAAGCAGCACCCGGAGACCCTGAGAAGGATCAAGGTGGCGGTGCAGGGGGAGATTGGCAAGCAGAGGAGCAAGCACAGGCTGGGATGAAGGGTTTTTTAGGTTTTTTTACCCTCAGCCTGGCTTTCCTGGTCTGCTGTCCGTTATCAGATGGGGGCTCAGCTCAGAAATCCCCATGGAGACTGGTTTTCCTTTGAGGGGGTGCTTGGCCTCCTCCACACCCCCATCGCTCTCCCCCCAGCTCCTCACCGGAGCAGGGACCATGGCACCAGGCAACTTCTTGAGTTGTTTTTTACCTCCTTCCTTTTTACCTTCTTCGAGGTGTTTTTTACCTCCTTCTTGGTTCCTCAGATTTCCAGAGCCCTCTCTACTCCCTCCTAAGTGCTTAGTGGCCCTGCGTTAACTCTTCACAGTCAAAATGGGAAGCAAGCGAGGAACACGGGCATATAAAAAGGGTTATACGCCTTCTGTTCAAGGTGCTTTTCCTCTTGGAAAACATCTCTAGAGAGTCGCTGTGGATGTGGCTTCTCTCACTCGGCTGAGCCCTGAGCCTGGCTGGCAGCCCTGAGCTGAGCAGCCCTGCTGAATTTCTCTCTGAAGCCTGATCATCTGACATGTGACAGCACGTCTGGCTGGTTGCTCAGAGGTGCGTCACGGTTAAAAGAGCCTTTATCTCTTTCTTCCTCATGTGCTTCTGGGGGAGGAATCCTGTTCCTCACCCCCGGCCAGGCCTATGGAGAGTCATGCAGTGGGATGGCAGAGGGAAAACCAGTCATCCCAGCAGGAGAGGGTGATTTAACGTCAGGGGACCTTGGGCACTGGTGGTTTGCTTTCTCACTGTTCCACTCTAAGCAAGGGAATGATTTTGCAACCACGTGCTTTTGCTTATTTGTCCCACCCTGAGCATGTAAATAAGGACTGGTCTGAGCTGTTTACTTTTGCTTGCTCTTGGGTTAATTCTAATGATGTTAGGATAAAGCCAGGAAAGTATCACAGGCAGGGTCCCAGGGGGGGCTGGTATTAATGCACGTACCTGCAATGGTAAATGAATCCTCAGTCAGGCATATTGGAACACAATGTCTTAAAAAGACATATTGGGGTGTCTCTCCAGTTATTATCAATGTGGTGTCAGATGCATTTGGAGGAGCAAATGAAGAACTCCTGGGAGAAAAAGCAGGGGATCATCATGCCTGCTTTCCATATCGCAGCAGCTTTCCTGCTCTTTCCTGCACGGTGTATTAGACTGATCCCACTGCATTTCCCCGTGTTGTGACTGCATTCACTGAGAACACCTTTTGGAGAATGAATATAGCCACAAAATCAGACACTCTTACTTTCTAATTGCCTTCATTTTTACCAATGTTAAGTGTGACAGAAGTGTGTCAAGCCAATGTCACACAGAAGTGTGACAAGTACTTTCAAGGCACTTGGGGATGTTGCTCAGATGGTTACTGCAGACCAAAAGAATGAGAAAGAGGCCAGCTGGCCTTGCTCAGGCTTAATTTAATCTAATTAATAATCCACTATGCTGAGAAGTGACTCAGGTGCTGGGGGCAAATTTTTGGAGTGGCTAGGAGAGGTCAGTGTAACTAGGGAGAACAGCTACTTCTTTGTACCTATTTCTTGTCACTGGCTGCTTTTTTATTCTGCCAGCTATGTGGTGTGGTGGTCGTTTTCTCTCGCCCAAAGTTACAGTCTAGGTTTTCTTCCTTGCTGGGTTGTGATTTTGTTGGTCACCTTGTTCCTGACAGCTGGATGTAATCTGTTTTTAGGTTTGGTTGTGTTTTGTTTTCCCTTACTTATCCTGGTCTGTGGTATCTGGGTTTGGGGAGTTCCTTTAGCTCTCTTTAAACAGGCTGTATTGAAGAGATTTGTCTGCGAGTTGAATTTTCTAGGTATTTTGCTCTATTCTCCTCTGCAGTGTGTGTGCTTAAATCATCTTGTGCCTGTTTTGGTGGAAAACTGAGCTTAGCGATTCAGGAACTGGTGATAATAAAACCTCTGGCGTGGTATTGAATGTGAGAGCGGCTTGCAATGCATTTCAACGTGAATTCTGATGATTTGTAGCAAAAGGAGCGTGTTCTGGCTGGAAGAACAGTAAAATTGATTAGTCTCTGTATGTGGATTTTCCCGAGAACCTGATTTGTGTATTCAGTGCTGCTGTAGTGCCTGCAGGTGCATCTGTTTACTGAGCTGCAAGTGCAATGCTGTCAGAGGAATTTGGATTCATTTGGCGTAGCTAGCTCATAAAGCAGAACTGAAGACTTTTCCCCCATATAATAGAGTTGGTTGGATTACAGAAATGAAGAACTCATCTATCAGTCTTGCCCAAAAGAATTTATCTGTTGGCTTTTTTAGCCTTGTCTCCTGGTGTTTCTGCACCTTAATGCAAGCTCCCCATGATGTTGGTAATGAGGCGTTCTGCACCCCCCCCTCCCCCATCTGTATCTAAAATAATGAGATCAGCCTAAAGGTGCATTGACTATTTCTGAAGTATTTTGGTAAAATATTACATTCCAAGGTGGCCTGGAGGCCCACATCTTGTATCGGATGTCAAAAAGGGCATTTGCCTCAAAGCAAGGTCTGTCAGGCTGGTGATGGTTGTGCTGCCCTGGGGGATGTAAGCTTTAGTGCTGTTATTGCTGAGCTGGCACGATAGTAACGCGTGATACCAGCCAAAAACCTTGGGCAGAAGGTTTCTGCTTCTTTCTTGTGTAAAGGCCTTGGCTGGCTGTAGTTTTACAAACTTGAGCTTATTAGGCTTTTAATTAATCTAGTTTGGGGAGGGGGATATATGTGTTAATTGTGTTCCTGGATTCAACAGTCATTAGTCCAAAGCCTTTGAAACAGGTGTAGCCTTGTACGTATATAGTTGCTGTTGTCACACAAAAGCATCTGCAAAGCAAAGGTACCTGGAGACCTGTTTCACAGGGAGGGATTTAATGTATTGTGGGATTTGCTCCCACGCATGACACTGCCTGTTCCGTGAACGTCTGACGGTAGTTTATGGGGTTGCTCTGACCTGACCGCATTTCTGTTCCTGGCAGTCAGATGGGGGGCTTTGCTTACCATGGGTAAGACGTGAAGGATGGGGAGAAGGAAAGCCTTTTGAAGGGCACGCGTTCCCATGCGCAAGGAAAAGACTTTGCATGGGTCAGTTACACAGAGTGCTAGATGGGCTTTAATACCGCGTAGTCTCAGTAGGGTCTTTGGGTTGTTTTGGGGTGTTTTTGGTAGGGCTGCTGTGAGCACCCTGCACTTGCTTGCTTGAGGCCTCTGCAAACTTCAAAAAAGTTAATAAAATAAAGGCCCCACTCCCCTTTCTGAAGGAAAGGATCCTTTTTTTTTTTCCAAAGAGCTAAATTGATCGGGAGAGAGATGCACAGAGATAGTCCTGCTAACACCTCAGTGGGTTCTGGAGATGTTCAGGACCCAATTGGATGCAGTCCTGAGTGATGTGCTCTAGGCAATCCTGCTTTGGCAGGGGACTTGGGCTAGATGATCTCTAGAAGGTCCCTACCAACTCCAACGATTCCATGATGCGACACCCTCTGTGGAAAGCCTGAGCACAGTGTGGGGGTTCTGCTTCCAAGGGGGGTGACCTCAGCTGCAGCTGAGTGGGTGGACGCCTTGGTGGGACAGAGGTCTGACGGGGAGAAGCTGTGTCAGCGCCTTCCTACCTCATCAGCGCTCTCGGGCCTTTATCTCCACCGTGTTCCCCATGCGACCCTGTTGAGGGTAACCACGTGAAGCTGGGGAGAAGCCGTTAAGGTTTAGCTCGGGTCAGACGTTTGCTGTAGGGCTGGGGGATGCGCTCTGGTTCACCTCGGCACCCGCGGCCCAAAGCCGGGTGTCTCTAGCATCTCCGGAGCAGGAGATGCGGGAGGGTCTGACTTGATGATCTCAAAGGTCCCTTCCAACCTAGACGATTCCGTGGTTCTGTGCCACAACCGTGACTCGGTCGCTGTCACGCCGGTGCTGGGGTCACACAGGCCCCTCTCCACCCGCGGAACAGGTAGGGAATCTAAGGAACGAGGCCACCGCCCGCTCTGCGACGCCAGCTTCTTCCTGTTTATTTCTTCCCCCCTTTCAGTAGAAGGGGTGAAAGAGCGTCCCGGCCCATGGCGCAGGCCGTGTCAGCGTGTCCTCCGGCCGCCGCCCGGTGCGGACCAGCAGCGGGGACGGCGCTACCGGAGAAGGACGTCCGTCTGTCCCGACACCCCTAACCCCCCGTCCCGTACCGGAGGTGTCACGGCGGTACACCCGCTGCCCTTTACCGGGTTGCCCCGCCGCTACGGAAACACCCCCGCCCCCGGTCCCGCCCCCGGGGCGGGGCGCGCCCCCGCGGAACGGGCGGGCGGGGCCTCCGCGCTCATGTGACGCCGCCGCGGAGCCGCCGCCGCCGTTCCCGCTGCCGCCGCCGCCATGGTGCCCTCACCCCTCGCCCTGCTCCTGGCGCTGGGCGCCGCCGCCACCGCCGCCCTGGCCGAGCCCCTCCGCTTCGTCGATTGCGGTGAGTGTCCCGGGGGGGCAGCGGGAAGTGGTGGTGGTGGGGGGGTCGCGGAGGGAGGAGGGGGTCAGCAGGCGGAGAAGGCCCGGTAAACCCGGCTCTTCCTTGCAGGTTCCGTAGACGGCAGCATCCAAGAGGTGAACGTGAGCCCCTGCCCCACGCAGCCCTGCCAGCTCCACAAGGGGACATCCTACAGCATCAACGTCACTTTCGCCAGCAGTAAGAATCGCGGCCCCAGTTTGGGGTGGGGGGCAATCACCTCTGCGTCCCACTGCTCGGGGAGGGGTGGGGAAGGGTGGCTGGAGAGGGGTCTGGGTGGGAAGAAGTGGCCGGGGAGGAAGGGCATTGCTTAGTTGTGTTCTCCCAGGGTATGTTGAGCTGGGGGGGTGTAAGGTGGAGTACGTGTCCCCTGCTCCGGTGCCGTGCTCACGCTTCTCCGTGTTCTGCAGAGATCGAGAGTCAGGGCAGCAAAGCGAGGGTGTACGGCGAGATGCTCCACGTGGACATACCCTTTCCCATTCCCGAGCCTGATGGATGCAAGTCTGGGATCCAGTGCCCCATTCAGAAGGGCCATTCCTACAGCTACCTGAATAAACTCCCCGTGAAGAGCGAGTACCCCAGTGTAAGTAAGCAGGCACCTGGGCTGCTCCTCAGAGCTACTGCCCTTCCCGGGGCAGTCCCACCACCTGCCTCTGAGGACACCTTGTTCTGTGGTGGTGGTGAAGGGGTTAGAAGCAGCCTCAGACCATCTGGTGGCACTTCTGCTGCGAGTATGAGTCTTGTCTCAAGTTCCCACTTTGGGACAGACCCAGGAGAGGAAGCAGCAGCTGAGAAGTGGCTTCAGCTGCCCAAGTATCTGCCTGCTCTGTACTAGGCTCATACGTAGCCTGCTGTGTTCAGCCAAATCCTCCCAAACTGGGGGTGCGGTTCAGCTGGGAGGCTGCAGGGTGTTGTGTTTCCACTCTCTGCTGACTCAGAGAGTGGGGATCCGAGTGCAGTCTGTGGACGTCTCCTGTGTGGTGCAACTGCACCCTCCATCTGTGTAAGATACTCCAGGGGTCATCACGTGACAGTGTGACCCGTCTACTGCAGTGGGGGCAATGCCCCAGCTCTGTCCTCTTTGCGCAGAGCTCCCAGAACCTCCTTGCTCCACACAAGCGATAACTCCCCTCTCCATGTTCTTGCCTTAAGGTTTCCTGAACGCTCACTTCCCTCTGCTCTTCCTCTTTTTCAGATTAAACTGATTGTGAAGTGGGAGCTGGTGGATGACCAGGACCAGATGTTGTTCTGCTGGAAGATACCAGTGCAGATCACAAGCTGAGGAGCCCTGCTATCAGCAGGGCTCGGGGAGGGGAAAAACAGAAGACAACACAGGCCAAATTCTTTTATATAATAAGCATTTCTTACTGCTTCCTTCAGAGCTCTGCAGCCTCTGAACAGCCAGTACTGTGCTCCTGCAAGGTCAGCTGCGGGCAGAGGGTTCTTGCTCCATTAGAGCCCTCTGGGGTGTTCTCTCAGCAGCTCAAGGGGGAGCAGTGTCTGCTGCAGGAGTGACTGAGCATCGTCCTCCAGCTGCTCTGCGGAGGCGCTTTAGTTGTTTGAAATGGAGCTGTCTGTCCTCCCAAAGGAACTTCTCTGCGATGAACCTGGCTAGTGTCTGAGCTGCTACCTGGTAATCCTTCAGTGCCTCTTCTAGAACGCCTGCTGCATCCACCCTCCTGCGCTTCTCCTGCTCCGTTGTGACTGGGATGCCCCTGGCACCTGCGTCTACCACCCATGCAGCTGAAGGAGAGGGAGGGAGGCTTTCCTTGAGCCTGCTCTGTCCTGGGCCTCTGCTCGAGCGGGACTGCAGCTGGGAAAACTTCCTTTTTGTGGATGCAAAGCCAAATGGCGTTCGTCTCTGCAGGGATGATTCTTTCTCTAACCAATGGTTTGCACTACTACTAACTTGGAGCTCCTGGGAGCTCCTGAACCTCTTTTTATAACTTTCCTTTTAATAAAGGCTAGACAAAAATCTGCTTGTGTTGTCTTCTGTGAGTGGAGAGGAGCAGGAGGAAAAGCTGGGCATCTTCTCATTGGGGTTGGGCTGGTCTCAGCTGAAGGCATAGATGGAGGTGGTGTGCTGGCCTGAGTGTGGGTGACCTGTGAGCAGCCAGGTGACTCTGCTGCTGGCTGGCAGGGTGTCCAGCTGGCAATACCTGGCTCTGCTCCTGCCTGGCTGGTCCTGTGCTGGCCTGAAAGTGTTGCAGAAGCTCCCTAAGGAAGTGGTTGGTGTAGAATATGGCCTGGCTTGCTGTGGCTTAGCTAAAGGCGTTTCTGGGGAGGGCTCTGGAAAAGCAGCTCCCAGACCTGCCCAAAGGCTCTTGCCAACTGCAGAAATCTACGTGCTCTCACGCTTAAACTGCAGCCCCCTCGTGTGAACGAGGCAGGGTGTGAGTGGCCACAACGGCTGTGCTCACTGTGGGGGCTGGTGCTGGACTGGGGAGATAAGCAAGTGTTTGGCCTGGCAAAGGGTCTCTGCTCTGGCTCAGGAGCAGGAAGGGGCCGGGTGCCAGCGTGAGAGGGGTAAGAATTGGCTCACGAGGCTGGCAAGGGTGGGGGGGAGGCATCCCCAGGGAGGATGTGGCTCTGGTACCCCTTGGCAAAGGCAAGACAAGCACAATTCTGACCAGCCCCAGTGTCTTGAGCCACAGGGGCCCAAAATAAATGTTTTATTTAACAACATGAGAGAAGTTTCCAGCAGACTCGGTTAAAAAACAAACAAACAAACAAAAAAAAAGGTCACCAACAACTTTACAGAAAGGAAGCTGGACCTGTCCCCCTGCCCAGCCAGCGCGGGGCACGAAGGCAAAGTGCAGGGCCAAGGGATGCGCCTGGGCTGGCTGCAGGGAGAGCTGGCCCTGGGGCCCCTCCGGCCTCTCCACCACAACCCAGGGTTAGGCAGCAGCTGTAGAAAGAAGCTGGGGTTGACCCCCCTGCTCCTGCTCGAAGCTCCGGCCTGCAGGCTGGATGCTTCCCGAGGAGCGGGGCCAGCCCCTGCGGCGTGGGTGAGGCTGGTCGCTAGGTCAGTGCAGCGGTGGCGGGGAGACAGACCCCCTTTCGGGGGGGGCTGCGTGGCAGGGGGATGTGTCCCGTGAGTCCCCACGGCACGGGGCGATGCGACGGCTGCTGGGGGCCGGGGTGGGCTCTGCTGTGGCAGGAGCAGGGGCTGGCGGGGCAGAGCGGGGAGCAGAGGCTGGGAGGTGGCGGGGGAAGTTGTGCGCTTCGGAGGGGAAGCAGCCAAGAGCCTCAAAGCACCCGCAGTCCAGGGATGGAGGTGGAGGGGGGCCTCTCCGTGCTCCCGGGTGCCAGAGCCATGGGCTGGAGGGGAGCACCCTCACCCCCCTTCGCCCCTGCTCCCCTAGAGCTACGCTGCTGCTGGGTGCTGGGCTGTCTGGGGCACGCAGTGGTGGGGCTGGGCCAGGGCCACGTAGCCCGGCAAGCAGTGGCAGCGGTAGGAGCCCTCCGTGTTCTCGCAGGTGCTGCCCTGGCACAGGGGCTCAGGGCTGCCCACCTCCTCACACTCATTGATGTCTGCAAGGAGGAGAAGGATGGGGGTGAGTGAGTGGCACAGCGAGCAGTCCCAGTCCACAGCCAGCATCTCCTTGTGCCCCTGCCACAGCCAGCATCTCCTTGTGCTCCTGCCAGCCCCCTGGACCTCCCCCACAGATGCCCTGTGTCCCCTCCCAACGCCTCTAGGTTGCCCACTGTGACCCCACCAGCCTCCCACACCCCTCAGCACATCCAGAGTCCCCTCAGTACCCAGGGGCGACATCCCCTGCATTTGGCATCCCCCAGCAGAGGAGGAAGTCCCCCCAGCAATGCACACCAGAGAAGCTCCCCCTGCTACGCTCTGCAGCTGGTGACACCCCGGGTTAGCAGCTTCCTGCTGGTCAATTGTGCTAGCGTCAGATCTGGGAGAAAGGCCGTCTCCAGCCTTGGAAAACACCCTTTCCTGATGGGACAAGGTCGAGGAGGCAGATGATGGTGGCCCTGAGGGGCCGATTATCACCTCCAGGAGCAGAACACAGAGGGACCTCGCGCTGTGCAAACAAGGGCTTGTTTTATTAACCTGAAAACTGTGCCAAAGGGCTCCCTCAGCCAGCTCGACGCTGGGCTAAAGCGTGCAGCTGCCCTGCTGCAATGGGGCTGCTCTGCTAAAGGCACTTCCCTGGACACCCTGCCTGAGCTACCCCAACTTGTGGTGGGGCCACCAGCTGGGCAGAGCATCCCTGTGCACCCCAGAGCCCTTGTTTGCACCCACAAGACCTCCAGAGCCCAAATCCTCACCTGCCAAGAAAGGTCCAAGCCCTGTAACCACAAACTCCATCCTCAATCCCCCGCAGGTTGGCAGGGAGCAGGAGTGGGGAGAAGCTGATGGGTTCAGATGGCCACCCAAGGGAGTGTGAAGGCCCCAACAGTGACTGATGGATCCCACTGCACAGGGGCTAAGAGGTCTGCTACCCTGGGGACCTCAGGTTATCCCTAGCACAGGTGGAGGGGGCCATCTAGCAAAGAAAGGGAAGTGCAACCTCAGAGAGGGAGGCTGGAAGCAAAAACCACGTGCAGTGGGAGGGAGCACAGCCATCATAAGAGGAAGAAGGAGAAGGAAAACCCGAGATTAAAAAAAGCTTGAGGAACAAGGCAGCCTTTGGATGCAGCCAAAGCAATGGTTGAATGGGCATTGCAGACATGGGCTGAACCTCAGGACCAGAGCATCACCATGGACAGGATGGGCTTGTGCAGAAGCCCAAAGAGGAGACGATAGGAAGTATATCAAGGAAGATGCGCTCCGCACCCTGGGAAGCAGGTGGAGGAACCTTGCTGGGCACTCCAGGAAAAGGTAAAGCAGGAAGAGCAGACCTTCCACCAAATTGAGAGAAGGAAACTAAGGTTATTTTAGCCCAGAAGCACCCAAAAACCAGAGGGGGTAGAGTGGCACTAGCAGTGCACACCCAGCTCCGGAGCCTGCCCGCTCAGGCAGGGGTGGGGGCAGGCAGCCCATCCTGTGGGGTGAGGGCAAGCTCTCCCCATAGGGAGGCAAGAGGGAAAGCACTGCAGCAACTGCAGGAGTTCCCTACAACCATCGGGTCAGCAAGGTGAAAACATGGGGGATGACTAAACACCACCTAGGAGAACTGAAGGGGAAAAAACCCAAGACAGGCTTCAGTGCAAAATGAGTGTTAGCTAGTCCAGGACACGAAAGGCAACAAGCAAAAGTTCCGTAAATATGTTAGCAGGAAACAATGGGGAATGTCGGTCTGGTCCTTATCGGCAGAGGAAACAAAAGCCAGCCGAGCTGGCTGGAGCAGCTGACATGGGCTTTGTTCCAGCCATCATAAAAATGCTCATGGGGACCAGAAAGGGCACAAACCATGTTTGATGTGTCTAGACAAGGGTGCGAGAGCACAGGGAGGAAAAGGCCGTGCTGTGATGGAGAGGCTGGACAATCAGACAGATAAATTAGTTACATCCATATTGCTAAAGGCTTGCTGCAACTCATCATCACGTGCTTAATGCTCCTGCAGTCCCTGAAAAATTGGCAGTTCTCTCTGAGATGGAGGATAAAGGAGGTCTCAGAGACCCGAGGAAGGGCAAATCTGGTAACTATCTTCAAAAACAGAGAAGCGAGAATCCAGAGCTACAGACTGCTCACCCCCATTCCTGTAGGCAGTCCAGGTTTGTCAGCGATTAGGTGATAACCCTCCAAAGCATATCAGGGTCATTAAATAGTTCGTGCAGCTCTGTTAAGGCCTGATTACGTTAAGCCAATCTGGTTCCCTTCGCTGACCTGATAACTGGTGTGTCAGATAAGGGAGAAGCGGTGGGTATGATGTGCCTTGGCCACAGTGAGGATTTCAACACGCTCTCACATGACACACTCAAGCAGACTGAGAAAATACGGTCTAGATGAAACCGTGGCAATTGCACAACGGGCTGCAAAGCTGCACTTCAAAGATAATTAGCAATACCTGGCTGTTACGATAAAAGCCATTTAAAGCACAGCCTGCAAGGCTCTGTCCTCACCCTTGCTCTATTCAATGTTGTCATTAACACGGACAAAGGAGGAAGAATCCCTGTGATTATGAAACTTATGTGTGTGATGCCAGCACTCTGGGGTTCAGACTCATGCTGTTCAAGGAGAGAAGTGTCCAAAAGCAAGCAGACAAAATTCACTGAAGGCAAGTGCAAAGCACTGCAGCCAAGGAAAGGGAAACCGAGCGCACAAATGCAGAAGGAGGAGTAACAGTTTAGGCAGCCATTCTGCCCAGCAGCATTTGGGGAGGCAGACACCATGGGTTCTGTATGGAGAAGCTGCATGGTCGTGTCATGAGATAAGGATGGGAGCTGGAGCTAGTGCCGTGCCTAAGGAAGGAGGGTCTTCATCTGCTCTGTTGAGCACCTGGGGCCTCAGCTGGTTTGGGGAGCTGCACTGCAAAAAGGATGGAGACATGGCATAGGGATGCAGAGAAGATGCAGAGAGAAGCTTTAGAGACCGTGTCTCACAGGGCAGGGTGGAGAGCGAGGAATTTCACCAGGGCAGTGGTGAATGTAGAGGAAAGTGAGCAGGGGTAGTGTAACAGCAGCTGGTGATGTACAAGAGTGTTATACAAAGAATGGGGCGATCAGCTGCTCCCTGCGACGCCCTGAGGTGCCCTGATTTAGCTGCCAGCAGAAAGTGGCAGGCTCAACCTCCAGGAGAGTCCTCCCAGCTCTGTGGGACGGAGGCACCAGGAAGAGCGGGGACTCCTCCGGCAGCTGTCCCAGCCGGCGCCAGCAGAGAGCGGCAGCCACCAAGGGATGGATGATGGCAGGGCCAGGCAGCCCGCACAGCCCTGGCTGCAGCCCCCCGGCGCCCCACCACCACCACACCACCACTCACCCACGCAGGCCATGCGGGTCATGTCCAGATGGAAGCCATCGAAGCAGTCGCAGGTGTAGCCCTCCCGGACACGCACGCAGCGCCCGTTCTCACAGC